TGTAGATTGTAAATCTGATAATATATATTTTGATTACTTCGTTTTTTCATCTGTTCACAAGAATTAACAATACATGTTAAATTTGAACATTTTAATATTTTCTTAACAATTAATTATAAAAATGGTATTTATTATAATACATTAAAAATTATTTTTGCTGGAAAGCAATATAGGCATCTACATTATCTGCGCTTTTACATTTAAAAGAGAATGTATACATTCATTAGAATAATTTAATGAATTTGAGAAAATTGTCAGTAAAATCGCCGTTGAAAATTAATGACGTACAGATACGGGACCTATTTTCTTATACTATGTGGATCGCAGCCGAAAAGTAGTCATCATTCAATGCCAATTACTTGTGAAATCAGCTACTAGTAAGTCACAATGAACTTGTACATGGTTACACTTGTGTTGTGTTTACTTGAATTAATTATAACTGAAGACAGTATTGTCCAAATTTATATGAATAAACTGAGAAGAAACTCGCTCAAAAAACAGTTACGTTTGTAGATTAATAATTGGGAAACTTCAAAAAGGAACCGACACAAAAAAGATTGCAGAGAACCAACATTTTTTTTTATATATTCCGCTTATTTTTATATTTTACCTACGAACTCTAACAATTTTGATGTGACATTTGATCTTTTTCTATCAAATTTAACTGTAAGTTTTAACATTTTTCAATTTTTAAATAATACTTCTATGAATTCTTATGCATGCTCTAATTTCTTTAAACCATCAAATAATAGTTGACATATTAATTTATAAAATCACTACTTTCTGATCATACAACTGTATTTGCTGTACTTTTGTTTTAATTGGGAATAAGAAATTGAGTAAATAAGAAGGGTTGCTAATTTCAACTAACGTAATTTAAATTACAATTTACGAGTTTTGATGTACGAAGTATAAAATGATCATTTTGATAGATCCATTTTTTTTTCTTTAATCGATTTTTTAATTATTTTAACTATTTATTTTTAATATTGAAGAAAATGTTGTTAAGGCTTACGAAAAGTAGTAGCCAATTATCTTTCTGATAAATACATTCTAATAGATTTTGATTTTTTTTTCTTTCAATGGTGTAAGTAACGATAATTCAAAACTAAGAGTAGATATAAATTAGTACAAAAACAATTTAATTCGTTAAATAGAATTAGTTTCTTTTGAATCTTTTGAAATATGTACAGGGATACATTTTGAATTATAAGTGGTATCCGTTTTAATTTATGACTACGCACTTCTTCAGTTAATTTATGGCAATATTCTTTGTATTTATTTAATATGCTCATGATATCTTATGCATCTCGTCGTTAGAAGTATTTGATGATTTTTAACGATACTATGAATGATTATTGTTTTACTTTTAAAAGCTACCATCGATCAATACGATTCTATTTAAATTCGACAGCACATCTTTTTAAAGTGGTAAATGTTAGATTCGAAGCTACACAAATACATTTTTTAAATTCTATTTGAATTTTTTGTATAGGTGCAAATTTGCATAGTTTTTTTTCTAATCATAGCACGATATATGAGTACTTATATTTTTTATGAAAATACTCTCATTGACTAGTTAAAATAACTAGTGCTCAGTAATATACAACGTAGAGAATATTTAAAAGCTCTGATCTCATTTATGGTCGTAAAATAGTAATGGGCAGAGTGCGTACCATTTAAGTATAAAGGATTAATCATTTCCTTAGTCCTATAGGTAAGAACATATGCACCATATATTTAATATATAGTGAATTAGTCAATAAATACATTAAAATATATTATGGAAAAACCATACATGTCAAATAATAATATATCCTTATAAATATAAAATTAAACTTAAAATACTAAAAGATAAAAGTATTTTGAAGTTCGAAAACAAATGAGAAAATAAAAAAAAGTACTATTAAAAGAAATAATTTTAAAAACATAATATACGTATATTGCTTTTCCTTGATACTCCATACTCTTAAATATTTAATCGATTGATTTTTAAAAATAAAAATTTGTAAATATGGAATAAGCATTATATTGCCTTATGGTAAAAGAAAATCGCATGGAAAAGAAATAATAACGAATTATAATATATATAAAAGTTAATTATTTTGCTGTATAATAATGACATTGCTTTATTGCTTTATGAAATTCTCTATTTTATATAATATTAAAAACTAAGCACTATCATATAATATTCTAAGAAATAATATTTATAAAAATCTACAAAAATTTTATTTAATAATTAACAATCATAGTAATATTATAAACATTTCGATCTTTCTTCTAATCAATTACGTTCCTATAAGTAGAAATAAGCAATTTTATTTTGCTTACCTGTGATCAGATCCTCTTATTTGGATGAATCAATCGAAGACCTAAATAAGTCTACTCTACATTTTTACAAATTTGTCTTTACTAAGTATATAGCAAACGAAATATATCAAATTTAGTAATACTGATAATATATGTATATAAAAATGTTAAATTACTGTTTTTAATTACAACTAATTTTTCAAATTACTTTTCTATTTTGAGTTATAATCAATATTTATAGAACAATTATCCTTAAGACTTAAAGAATTTACCGGGTACGTGCTTATTTTATTTAATAGAGAAAAAAATTTATCAATAAATTATTAACATTTAAAAAAACACACCAACATTATTTCTGTTGGTAAAATATTTACTTATTATCATCCATTTTTCTTATGATAATATTAAATACAATGAACAAATATCACGATTAAACTTATAAATAAAAGCAAAAAATGTAATATCAATATATGTATATGTATATGTATGGATTTGGTACCAATACAGGTACTGGATACTTATATTAAGATACATGACAATTCAGTTCAATCTCACAATCTCTTGGATATTCTATCCATTTCCTTTCTTTCTTGGTTTCTCCTTTCTTCGGGTATAAAAATTTGTTCGTGTGTATATTATTTTTGTGTAAAACAATAATTCGTCCCTTTCTTAAGAGACAGCGATATTTGCGTTCGCCGATTGTTAAAAAATTATTTGTTAAAGCTAATAAGCGTTACATTAAAATTAAGGTTTTCTTTTGATTTTTTTTTTCTTGTCTTCCATACACGCATAAATACATTAGAAGGAACAGTTTCAATATTGTCGTTGTTATTTTACTACATTGGAAGTATTTTCTTTGACATTTAGCTAACAGAACTTCTCTAAAATTTATTATTATATTTTTGTCAGTGCCAAAAGAATTAGAAAAATTTTCAATAATAATAAATCAATTGTTTTTGCTGAAGATTTTCTATAATAAATAAATTAGCCTATTGTGTGATAAGTAATGAATGTTGTAAAATGGTAAAATAGCCAATAAATTTTGTTATTATTTAATTTTTTTATCTTGCTCTTATAGCAAAATATTCTAGCATAAAAACAAACGTTTGTCTTCAAAGACATTATCTATGAAGTTATATAACATTAACGTAAAAATACGATAATAATTTTTTAAAGATGATTTAAAAAAAAATATATTTAATTATGTACTTAAAAAATAAATCTATATAAATTATTTAAAAAATAATATCATTTAGAGAAATTCTGTGGTTCAGCTTGACGTCAATTATCACGCTATTAAGAATATCACAGAATATATTTATATTTATATATATATATATATATATATCTTTTTTTGTTTGTTTGTTTGAATATATACACATATTTTATATATGATGCATGAGATATACACATCTATTTGTCTTCAATTGTTATAAATTCTTAATAAACGTTTTGCAAAAGAGTACGTAACAATAAAATCTAAACACTTCGAAAAAATTATACAAGTTTATCGTTGCCAATTTCTTTTTATTATCGGCACTTGTACACCTGTTATATTAGTAACTTAATACTATATAATATACATACATACACGCGTGCGCGCGTGAACATATACACACACATCTGTGCATATATACATATATACATATATACATATATATATATATATATATATATATATATATATATATATATATATATACATACGTGTGCGCGTGCATATCAGCTTTTGTATGTATGTATGAGTGGCTATTTGGCGCAATTTTATCAATTTCAACGCGCCATTTAAATTTATTTATTTTTTAATTGTTATTTGCAAAAACAAATTATTAAGTTTATGGTGCCTAACTGGATCGTAGATGAATCTTGAAGAACAAATATTACACAAAATGCAACTTCAAAAATTTACACTCGAACTGCAATAATCGTGAATTCATTTATTTGGTAGAAGTATATATTCAAATATAGAAATAATTATATTGACAATAATAATAGTAATGAAATTCAGTACTATATTTTTACTCAAATACCAATGTGCACTATTTTATTTTATATTTTTAATATTATAAAAATTTTATTAAATAGTTAATTTCGATTAATAAATATTAACTTATTCTAAGGCTGACAATTTTTTGACTCAGGTTTAATTAATTATACATAATATATTTATCTGATTCAAATAAGTATTGTACGATAATGATAATTCATCTGATCGAACAGTGTGTATGTGCGGAAAGGGGCAGGGAGATTAAAATGACTCCTCACGCGTCTGCTTTGCGTGTTTTTTGCTGACTATAGATAATCGGCATTGGTTGGGTTACTTACTTGAAAAAGCAAAACATGAGTCTTGATGCACTTTAGCTCTTATATCAATAAATACAAGTATGTACGTTTTCTTTAAAAAAAAAAAAAAAAAAAAGACGCCCTTTCGTTCCCCGAGCAGCTCATCTACGATCCGTGCTCTCCTGCACCCGATAAAATGACACGTGTAGATGTGTCGTAATTGTTCATTATATATATGTTAAAATATATCTTTCTCTCTTTCTGTGTATATTTGTGTGCGTGTGTTTATATTGCGTGCATTGTATTGCTGCGTTTAAGTAATAATAAGGCCGCATTAGGCCGCACACGGGGCTCGGCGCGCGCTCTCCGCGCTTACACGAATGAAAGTACTATTGTGGCGAAAATACCTGTTATAGGAATCATAATAGTCTTTCCTGTCCAGTGGGGGTAGATGGTGTCTCGGTATCTGGGTCTGAGGGCCGGCCGAAGCCAGCGGCTGCTGAGAGGTCGGCACTTGGGGCCCCGCGGAACCGACCATGAGGCCGGGCAGAGGTGGTGGCAGCAGCGACGACGCGGACGACGACGCGGACGAGATGCTGGGCGGCTGCTGCAAGGACTGATGCTGGTGTCCGGACGCGGGGCCAGACCCGGATTGTTGCTGTTGCTGCTGCTGTTGCTGTTGTTGCTGTTGTTGCTGTTGCTGCTGCCCGACCGGGCCCCGGCTGGAGTAACGCGATGGTCGTTCGCTCCGGGGCGGATAGTCGTGGGGGGCAATGGAAGCCGGGGCTGTCGAGTCCCCGTAATAGCTGCCGTAGGGTTCACGGGACCGTGGTCGTTCTCGTTCTCGATCGCGCTCCTTGTGATACCTGAAACTACATCCAATGCTATGATGAAACGTTTGAGGTTATGTTTGGGACAGTAAGTGAGTTGTGGAATAAGTGAGAGATAAGTTCAACTATAAGTTCGATATTTCATCGTTTTGGTTTAGTTTTGTACTGCGGAATACGTAAATACATTAAAGTCAAAGTCAAACATTCGCGCTATTAGAATAGTTAACGGACGATTAAATTTATCTTTTGACTACACGCTATACTGATAATGCAAAAGCGACTCGTTACAATAGCATATATTTGTGCCTCGACGTTTTTTTTAACCTACGATTATATATATACGATTATAAATATACATCTGGATGATTATAATAAAATTCTCGAAAAACATCTGCTTTTGTTATAGTTGTCGCGGTTATAATAAAATTTAAAATGATTTTTAAAAAAAGAAAGAGGAAAAATATCGCTTATTATTAAAGGTACGTAAATATACAAATATTATTTATTGAATAATGTGTCTTAATAACGTGAACAACATTGCTCGTCGCTTATGTGCTTTGATTACTCGATGGTTTGGTCTTAAATATATATAATTAATTTTACTATATCATCCACTAACTGATAGGTACAAAATAATAAAGAAAAGGAGAAGTTTGAATAAAATAATATTATCAAGCTTTTGGTAACGTACCTCGGAGGCGATCGTGGTGGTGATCTATAAGGAGCTGGTGCATCCCGGACTCGTTTGCCCTTTCGATCGCGATCTCTTTCGCGTGGAAGAGATCCTCTCGGTGATTGACTACGAGAGTACGATCGTGATCTAAAAATATTAAAATATGGTTAAACGAATAATTTTTTAAATACATTTTCAACCACTTCGATTTAAGATAATTAAACAAAGGCAAGTGAACATGCTTTTGTCTGTATCATAATTTGCAATCCTATTTAAGAACATTATTGTCTTGTTTTCATTAATTCAGACGTATTTGTTTTTCATACAATATTTTGAACGTGTCAATTACAAACTATACGATAGAAAACTTTCATTTTTTCTTTATTATAATATAAGAATACTGAATCAATGTTTAAATATTTTAAATGAATTTTAAAATTTATTTAAAATAGTTTAAATGAAATTAACGAAGAATCAAATATTTAATTACAGTCACTAATCTAATAAATTGTTACGTTAATATTCAGGAAGCTTTTATTTTTACTTTTTAAAACATATGTTTTAACCGAATAATAAATAACTGTTTAGCTGCAATTATAGTTTATTTATTATATATTATTTTTTGGTTCAAAATTATTTTTATTATATTTGAAAAGCCAATTTCTCTCAAAATTATTAAATTTAAGCTTTTACTCATTTAAATGTCATTTATTACATTTGTTGCAATTTTCAGTCGTTAATTTTACAAAGCACATAGTGTTTGATCTAATGTACCCTGTATTACCGAAATTAACACACGTATTCCACGATGTACATTGCATGCAACATGAGACTATTTGTCAGCAATTAGCACATTTTACACTATAGGACTTAAATTTCATATTGACTGCTCTTAATTATAAAATAGTCCGTTAAGTAAAATTACACTCTTATTATACAATTTTTAATATAATTTTAATAATACAGTAGGTCCGGTGTGACAGCCATAGGTTTCAGCTAATTTATCGATTAGTCATAGAAGTCACCGAAGTAATGTTCAACGTTTACTGAAAACTATTTCACGACTCGACATATCAACTACATCGCATAAAAAAATCGACGTGAACATCCTCGTAAAAAGGCTCAGAGTTCACCTATCAGTTGCTGATAATAATGAGAATGTATCAATTCGTGGGTAAATCAAGCCGCTCTCACCTGCTAATAGAGAAGCTTCCACTCCTTGATCGTCTCTTCTTGGGCGTGCGGCTCCTGGCCCTATGAGAAAGCAAGGGCGATCTCGAGGCTCGCCTCTTGGAGGGCGGCGAGCGTGACCTACTAGGGCGTGAAGGTGAGCCCCGTCTACCGAACGACCGGGAACGGGAGCGCGAATAGCTGCGCGACCGTGATCGAGACCTTGTGCGCCTCCGGTGCTTGCCCATTCGACGATCACGTTCGTCCTTTTCCCTTAGCATCCTCTGAAAGGCTTCCAATGGGTCGTCGATTACACTGCCATGAAAAATATTAGAATCGTTAATTGCGTCAGTAATAATGGCGCTCCATATTGGTGTAAGGAGTATATTATGACTTGGACTGTTGGAGTAATCGTTTTAATTAGCAAATATTTAGTTTTAATTGTAAAATGCAATCAATCATAAAAATAAATATTTTACGACACTATACATACTGTTTAAGGATATTTTATAACATTTGTCTTATTATGATCACTTAAAGATTCTTAAAGTAAATTTTTTAAGTTATTTTGAAATTTATAATTAATAATCATATTCAACATATGATTATTGCAAATATATAATCAATATTCTTCTACCGAATATTTCGTATACTTTCAAATATAAATTTTATATTAATAAAAATATATTAATTTTTTATTGATTAAATAAAGCATAATTATGAATATTGATTCCAACGTTTAAACTAAGGGATTATTCATCGTTGTATTGTATTGCGCAAAATGTCAAATAAAACAAGATGTTTGGTAATATATAATGCTACAAATTTAATAACTTGTTAGGTTTATGATCTTGGATATTTCTACATAAATAATTTATAATTATATTTCTTTAAAGATACATTATTATTTTTTTAACAGATTTTTAATATGAAATATTAGTAAAGTTATTATAAAATATCAGCAATAAAAATATAACAAATGTGTTTTTGTCACCTGTAGCACATATGTAAATTCACGCACTCACACAAACAAGCGCATTTATTTGTATAAATGTGAGGTAAATGTTTTACTTACCCAGGTGTTCCATTGTGCAGATTTCGACCCATTCCTGGAGGAGGAGGTTGCATCCCTCTATAGCTCACTGTAAATACAAATTATATCTCAGAAAATGCGTCTTAATGGTTCACATTTAATGTAACGACTGATTTACCATTTAAAAATTATTTTTAAAAATTTTTTGGTTTTAAATTGCAGAAAGTCATTTTGTAAATTATTATTTATTTTAGAAAACAGAATTAGTTTTTATATATACAATTTTTCTATTGCACTTCTCTAAATACAGTTATCCTTTATAAATAATGTAAATATATTATGTACAAACATTACATTTGTTATAGTCGAAGTAATAAATGTTTATCAAATAAAAATGTTAACATAGACTTTATATGTACAAGAAGCAAATTTACTTAGTTATTGTTACAGTATAGATACAGTTAGTAGCTGCTTCAGATTTTTATTGTTTTTTTTTGTTTATTTTTTGTTGTTGTTCATCATATTTTAAAGTGACAAATATGTTCAATTTTTGATATTCAGAAACACAATTTAAGCTGTACAGCTAGAGTAAAACAATTATTTCGACATTTCGAAAATTGATCAATCATTTTAATTACAGGATCTACCACCATCGTTATCATTCGGCTCTTTATTTATATATATATATATATACATATACACATACATATACAAACGTACACACGCAAATACGCACTCACACAAATTATTTATTTAAGGACTTACAGTTCTTATCAATTTTCAAAATATCGAATGTCTTTTAAACGCATTATCTTTCGAGTGCTTTATTTGTCAATTATCAATACCATTTTCATTTTATTATTCATTCAATTTTAATTAATTTTTCTGCATTAACACACAAGGGAGATATTTTAAATTAATTTAAATATAAAATTCTTATGATATTTTAAATTATAATTTCAATTTTAAGTTAAGTTCCGAACAAAAAAATATAAAGAAACATAATGTCTCTATTTTATTTCACATGAAAAACCTTGTGTGCAGTAAAAACATATTTTTAAAAACATTTTTTAATTCAAATTACAAAAATATAATTTTATAGAAATAAAAACCTTGTAAATCCCATTTGCTTCGAATCTGTGACCTGTACCCTGTTCATCATGTGTAAAAAAATGGAAAAAAAAACACTCGTTAATATTTAAAATTTGAAAAGTGAATATCTTTAATCGATTTAAACTATTTTCATAAAATAATTGAACATAAATACTACAAGTCCAAGTTTGCAAATAAAAAGCAAAAAAAAAAATTTAATTTTTACTCAAACTGTACAGTTAATACTTCATAATATAATAAATAATAGGTCAACCGACAAGTCAATAAAATAGTAACCTTAATTGTAATTTACCATTTTTATACAATTTTTATCTACATGTAAATACAATGGGCTATTTTCTGTTTTGCGTACTTTAAAGTTTATACAAAATTAATTTTATTAATCTCAATACTATTTATTAAATGTTTTTAGCTTATTTTTTCGCTTTTCGGTTCACCTTTCGAATTGTATGGTTACCAAGGATTAAAATTGTAAATATTTATACTTATCCATTTCAAATGTGTTTAAATTGTTAATTGATAATTAATAAAAAAAATGTTACATTTTTCAAATAATACATTGTGTTTCAACAAGCAATTTCAGTCAGTTAAAGTTCATTGTTGAACATGTAATTATATTTTAATTTTAGTAAGACTTAGCTAAATTATTTTGTTTGTAATAAAATAAAAACGTAAAGTAATAGATATATTTGTCAAATTTGTATGCTCATAAAGTACAGGAAATTGAAATTATGAAATTTATCTTTGAAATAAATTGCTAATAAACCATAGTTTATTATTTTTTTAATATTGTATCATAAGTAAAAGATTATGAGTTTTCCTTGATAATCATTTAATTGATTGTGCATTCCAAATTCTACACTAAGAAAATTATACACTATGTAAGTATTTGTAATATGTTTTTTATTAATAAAGTATTCAGTTATTACCATTATAATAATATAGTTCTTGGTAAATATTACTAAATTATCTATTTTTCTGAGTGTAGATTGGCGAAGGCAGGCAAACAAAAATTAAAGAAAAAATTCTTCTGAAGGGTCATATCCAGTCATATTTGTAAAAGCATCTGATCTATTTATATAAAAATTTTGAAATATTTACTATATTTCTATAAAATAATAAATACAGAAACTAAAAAATAAATAAAATGATATTTTTACAATTAGCTAGTAAAATACTTGAAAACATTATCTATGATCATTGAAATCTACGATAAAAAACAATCCAGTTATTAAGATAGTTGAAACAAATAGTTTAATTTTTATATAATGTACTTTTGTTAAATATGCTCTTAAATACTGCTTAAAAATTAAGAAGAAAAATAAAATCAACATAGAGTAATTTTTTTAAATATTCTATTTTTGTAATATTTGATCTGCTATTATTAAATAAGTTGCTTCAAAAATTAGCTTTAAATTGCTATTATTTCATGACATAAATAAAGTTAAACATCCAATTTTTTTAGTATTAACTAGAAATGACTCTTCAAAATATTCATTTTCTAATAATAATGTCTCTTATCATGCGTATTCTTATCAAAATTATGAATACATTATTTATATCTTTTTCAAGGAAATTTCGAACATTAAACGGGCCTTTAATTTTTATTTTAATCTTAAGTTTAAAGCAAGTCTACGCAATGAAAAATTTAGAAATCAATAATATAATTCAATTATCAACTGCCATTATTTTTTATTTTATATATAAATAAAAATCTTAACGTCACAATAATAGAAATTTAAATTATAGTTCTTAATTAATTGTTCAAAAGCAATAAACCATGGTATTGATTTTTCAATATATATATATAAGTTAAACATTTTTTTAGTATTCGATGTTTATTTAAATTTATTATTTATTAAAATAAAGAAATAACCTAATTTCTTGTTTTTGTAAGTCTATATCTTATCTTAAATGTACATAATTTAATAATGAAATACTCCAAGGAAGATTAAATATGCATTAAATATGTATTAAATATGTATTAAAGATGTATTAAATAATATTATTAAAATTTAAAATATAAATTAGTTTAAACGAAAAATAAAATAAAAATAAATATATGGCTTTTGTGCAATATTTTGTATTTTATCTGAAATTAAAATATTGTAAAACTATCATTGATGAATTTTCCTTGTACTTATTTTTTTGTATGATATATTGAATTCGTTAAAGTTTAATGAACTTGAAATAATCTAAATAACTAATTGAACGTTAAGTAACTAATTGAAAATGTTCTAACATTCTTTAAATATTTGAATTTTCATATATTATTATTTAAAACTCTATATTTACAAAATTAAAATTGAAATCATAAAAATTCTAAATCGATTATAACTACAAAATGAAAAAGTAATTATATGCTACAAGTACCAGTTTTCTTTTTATTAACGTCTAATTTTAAATGAAAATATTTTCTGGATATTTTTTATTACTTTATTCTTCATGGGAAAGAGCTAAAAATTTTAATTTGATAGCAAAGTACTTAGAATTTATTTTAAATAAATTTAATATTTATATTTTCTCCTTTCTTGTTGAAATAAATGTTTAGTAATTATAAAATAATATATATCATTATAATTAAAAAAAAAAGAGCGCGTGTTTCTTGACAATTTCTTAATTTTAACTGTTAATACGTTACAAGTTATTCACAGCAAGAATAGTAGAACTGTGTAAGTAAAAATTTATTTATGATTATTTTATTTAATAAAAACTATTAAAATAATAACCAATATTAGATATTGGCTACTTAGTAGATAACTAAGTAAAATGTATACAGATTTATAATTTCCATATAATTCAAACAGTTTATGTATTAATTTCAAAAATTGAAGTTTGTATTTTCTATAAATTAAATTTGTAAGCTTACTAGCATATAGGCTTTTGTAATTATATAATAATCTAATAATGTACTATTTGATTAAAAAATTAATTAATTAAGACATTCTTAAATAATTTCTTATTTAATATTATTTGCAAGACGCTAATCATATGTCATAATCTTGTCTTATGATTGATTATATGAAGATTCTTTATATGTAAGTTTTTAATTTCTTCAACGTTGTTTTTTAATTCGCCATAACAAACACTTTTTGCAGTTATGTTTAAAACGAAGAGTCAACGGTTTTAATCTCTATTGCGTTATGGATGAATACTTAAGATTATAGACTGAAGCAAATATAAAAGAGAATATGATACTGCCAATACTGTGAAAATACGAACTTGTAATTTACGTTTCTCTTTTTTTTTTTAATAATCTCTTCCTTCTCGATAATATCACGACTTTTAGCACATTATCAAGAATGCTCGAAATTTCAGTTGTTAAACAGTTAAGTCGAAGGCCAAGGTGCGATATTAAATGGGTTGGCCAATAAAATCAGACTGGCACCTGTGACATACTCAATACAATAATTTTGGTTTAAGGACTAGAACTTACAGGACACTCGAAATAGTGATATAGCAAAGTGATGAGAAGAGGAGGAGGAGGAGGAGGAGGAGAAGAAAGAAAAACAAAAGGATAAAAAAGAAGCGAGGGTTGATGCAAGAGCGGAAAAGTCGATTGGCTTAAAGTGATGTGCCATGGCGTGTGGACTCACTACTATGCATGCCGCGCATGGGTCGGGGTGGACCTCCACTGTAGGTCCTCGGCGGCTGGGCTGGCCTGTAACCTGGCTGCTGTTGATAAGGCGGCCTGTTATCATAGCGCTGGGGCAGTGGAGGCTGGGGCGGTCCATAGCCATGACTTGCTGGGGCTTGTTGATGAGGCGGATACATGGGCATGCGGGGTGGCGCCATGTAGGGGTCCGGCAACAGAGGTGGATTGTGACCAGCGGGTGGTGGAGGCTGAGGCGGTGGTGCCTGCCCAGAGTAGCTCGATGGCGGTACGCGATCCTCGCCTGGCGGATATGGAAGCAAGGCCGGTTGTCCATGTCCAGATCCGTGGAGGTGTGGCTCGTCGACCTGAAATGAGAAGTGAATCTTCAGATTTATTTTATTTCGATATCTCTCTCTTTCGAAATGTATTCAATGGCATATTTAGGGGCAAATTTACAATTAAACCAATAGACTATATTTTATTTCGTTTTTATTTTAAGTTTGCCAATGTATTTATTTATAAAATAAATTAATCTTGATTTTATATTAATCGTGAACTACAAAAAATTGTCTTGCAAGATTACGAATATTATTATACTTAAATAAATTATACATATTTAAATTTAGTATAATATTTCTATTTAAATTATTAAAATTAATTAATTGTAATTAATTTTAATAATTAATCAAATATTTACAGTGGAAGTTACCTTTAGTGATGAAGATGCACAATAAGGAATAAAATTATATAAAACATTTTTCTTAAAATAAATTAAATGTAGATATATATATTTTCTATTTAATATTTAAATTTAAATAACAGCATGATTGTGAACTAATGATTGGGACGAAATTTGAGTTAAAGTAGACTTACAGTGGGAGTACCAGCTCTATCCTCCGTCGACCTTCGTAAATTGGGATCATAATGCATAGGTGGTGGATGATACCGACTATCACTGCTCATGTGACCTTGGTAGTTTTTATTATGGCCCTGACTTTGGTGCATTGGATAGTCTGGATGCTGTGAATTTCTTGGTGACAGTGACCTTCGTCGACTCGATGGTCTTATATTATTTTCCATTCTACTATGATACGACGTATTTCTGTTAAAATAAGTATAATTATTTTAAAATAATTCTTTATTTGAAAATAATATTCGTATATTATTCTACATATGTGCTCAATATATGTAAACACTATATCAACATTATTACATGTATTCAGATTAAATAGCATGCTTAATACAATACGACCATTTAATACAAAAATTTTAAATAATCGATACCTTTCTCTATGGTTATCTCTACTGAAGCTTCTTCGTCTTTCTCTGGAAAATCGGTCCTTACAATAGTCGTCTTCTCTGAGTTCATTACTAGAGTCTCTGTCTCTCCATGACTGGTCAGATATTCGTTTGGACAATAGAGGTGGCTCCGTACCAGGGGGTGGTGGCACCTCTGTTTCATCATCGGTCATCAATTTTGTCACGATATCACTATGTACGTCTGACTCTATAACCGACTCTGTTAAGCAATAAAAGTAGATAATAAAAGTAGAAAATAAAATAAACAATAATAATTGTGTCATGTCTTTGGAATGTTCAAATAATATGAATATTATTAACAATCGAAATTTATTTATAATTTGGTGATAAATTCATGAAAATGTTGTTTTTTAGATAGGGGTTGACTAAGATAAATCTAATAAACGTTAATTTGAAATTTGTAATTAACTCGAGAATGTACACGAACCAGCAGTTAATGTGGCTTTCTCGTAGGAGGGCGAGGCCTTTTCAATAGGTTTGTCAGCTTCCTTAACCTCCGTTTCGGTACTCGTCACGCCTTGACTAGAGTTGCGTCCGGTGACGGATATAGGACCGGCCTGCGTGGGCGTCGCTGCCGACATGGTCGGCGAGGCCGTCAGCTTTTCTGATATTGAGGGTTCGTTGCTTAGTACAAGAGTTGGTGTCATTTTTTGGCTCACCAATGGCTTGTATGTTGGTCGCTTTGCATAACCTGTTTCGTTCTTGAAGTTGAGCACAGCATTGCGCAAATATCGATTGGGAATTAGTGATTCAGGCGAAACGTCCTTCTCGCTGCAGTCCGGACACTCGTGCTCCTCTGACTCCAATAAGAATGTACGGATACCTAAAACACGTGAAAACAATGTTGTGTTATTTGATAAATTTCTTGGATTTAGCGGTTAATGATTTTTGAAGAATACTGTTTTAATCGATGACCGGTTAACATATAATTTACTCATCTTTACTAAAGGACGTTGTTTTATTTTTATTCCTAAATAAAGTGTAGTTCTTATTTGTAAAGAATATTGAATTTTTTCAACATTATTTAAAATATTACTATAACAATTTATTATACAAATAATCTCCTATATTTAGTATTAATGAATTTTATAAGATTATTGAAAATACACTTTATAAAATTATAATGAAAGCAAAATTATTTTTCATTTAGTAATTTATGTAGTTCAATAAAATGTTTTTTAAAATATTCTTTTACTGCAAAATAACAATTAATTTTATTTTTTTAATTCTTTACCAATTGCTAAAACCATTAATTATTCTATTTTAGGATTTTATATTTTAACACTATTTTAATTTATTTATATTCATAAAATTTTTTTATGCATACATTTACATATATAACCTAATAAGGCAATTGTCATAATTAAATTAAACAATTGCAAATTATCATTTATATTAGATAATCTTTTAAAAAATATTTAAACAATAGAATTCATTTATTAGAAAAAATTAAATAGTGTTTAAGAATAATTAGAAAATTTGCTTTTAAATAGTAAAAATTTTATAGAACTATATTTTTCATTTATATTATTGTTAAATGATTAATATTAAAGTTCTTTTTTATCTATATACTGAATGATTATTATATCTTTATTTGCGTATATACTAAAAGATATTTATTTTAAAAATAATTTATTTTATTTACTATTTTACTTAAAATTTTATTGAAAAATAATTATTTTAAAGACATTTATTTACTAAAAGATATTTGTATTGTACTCATCTAGCTAGTTGGAAAAGTATAGTTTTCACGATTAATTTTTAAAATATACATTTTTATGCATTCAAATAGAACTTTATTTACTACTTACATTCATCACAAAACGAATTCCCACAGCATGGAATCATAACAGCATCAGTCAAAAGATCTTTGCAAATATTACAAAGCAAATCTTCGGGTATTTCAGGCTTTTCAACAATAGGTTCAGGATCTTGGGCAAAAGGAGGTTTCTCTTTCTTTCCTTCTTTATAAGCTTGACTAAAGTGTATAAATTATTGAATTTAGTATAAACGAGTATTTGCAGATTTAACCATTAATTTTATTTGCTGTTTTTGAAAATTATTCTATTAATATGTAATTAATCTATTAATGATTCCATTTTTACTACTCACTGATCGATAGCAGGTACAGCATAGGTTCCACCAGGAGTCATCATTGCACCAGGAACTGATGGTCCTTCAACAGGAACCATAAAGCTTCTAGGAATACCAGTACTCTTTTTAATTTCTATAGGCTCTTGATTGATACCAAGTGGACAATTTTTAATCCAATGTCCAGGCTGATGACATTTATAGCAGCGATAATTTGGAGGCACTTCACCAGTTTGGTTGGAACCACGAATTTTCATATAACTGAAAATAATATAAAAATATTAAATTTGTATTGCTTATTTATAGTCAATTTAATTATTTTTCTTAAAGGGAATTTACTTTGAAGGATCATAATCTTGCGTTGATTGTGTCATCATAGCACGGATTTTATCTTCCTCTGATCCATCTAATCTCGTGAGATCAACAGATCTTCCAAGATTACTTTCATCTTTGGAATTGCTAAATGCTGGTGTCTCGGTTCTATCCCAAGTACGCTTTTGTTGAACTGTCAATGGTACTCTAGCAATAATTAAGCTAGTATTCTTAGCAATTAAAGCATTGTCATCTGTATAATCTAAGGAGGAAAAAGAAAAGGAGTATACTATAAAATACTGGACAATTATTTTAATAATTATTTCATATAATCTTTCATCATAATCTAATTTACATAGTATATGCACTATATTCCTACCTTCCTTAGTTTGAGCATTTGTAATTTGCAAATCAAAGTCTGTATTCTTGCCAATACGTTTTTGATGAAAAATAGCCTTTTTTAAATCAGCTACAGAAATATGTAGCCCATCGAATGAAACTGTATCATAGTCCAATGTGGACTTAAACTTATAATGTACTGACATATTTGGCTCACAATGCTTTTCTGTAAGTTTAAAAAACGAAACAACTAAATATAAGATTTGTAATAAGTATTGTAAAATTTTATAAGCAATTATCAGTTTTATATCTTTTATTTAATAATAAGTCAATCTTACAAAATAAAAGTTTTATTTAATTATTGCCATGATATATTGTATAATCAATAAGTTTCATAAACTTACTAACATAATTTCTGATTTCATATGAATCAATATAATATATTAATTCTTTATTATTTCACTCAGTAAGTTTTGCTTTCAAGTTATTATAAGCTTAGTTTGATAAAAATTTATATATATATATATATATATATATATATATACGTATTTATATATATATGAAGTATATTTTAGTGTTAGTGTTACGCTTTATACATTATTCTTATTTATTTAATAGATATAAAAACAAAAAAAAATTTAGATCTAATATACTACTTACAAAATAATTTATTAAAAAAAAAATATATATATATATTTTTTTAAAAATATGATTTAATATTCAGTACACTCCTTTAATCCAAATCTTTCGAAAATAAATAGAAATGTTTTGAAGATATAAGTCAAACGATATATGTTATAACTTTTAATCGCTACTGATTTGCATTAAATACGTTAAATCGTTAAATATTTTTTTTTAAATAATAGGAATAAGTTTGATTATTATTTGGATCTTGAAACAACGTAATTTAATATTAGACATCTCTTAGATTCTTAAAATATCTACCTAGACAATATTAAAAGTAATGGATATATATATATGGTTCTTATAAATTAAATTTAAACATTTATTTGGACAATGGTATAATTTAAATAGATAATGATGATTTGAAAAAAAATATTATTTTATATTTTATTTATGAACTATATTTGAATTAGTATTCAGCTTTATACATTATTTTTATTAATTTAATAGATATAAAAACAAAAACAAAAATTTAAATCTAATATAATAATTACAAAATAATTTATTAAAAATATCCTTCCGCATAATGTTAAAGATAAATAAATTTCATATAAAAAAGAAACTAATAAATACATGTATGAATAACAGAATTAAAATTTGTACAATAAATAGGATTTATAGATGAAAGTATTTTTCAGTAATACATAATTCTAAAGTTAAAGTATGGGTCTGACTTGTACTATATGTAATAATTATCTTATAAAATGTTTCAAATAAGAGTGCAAAATCAACAAGGCCTAATATTTATATAAAATAAATATTCAATAAATCGAATATAAAAGCAGTATTATGCTTATACATAGATATCAACAACATTTACTTTTAATACTTCTATCCATCATAATAACTGCACATATGAACACATACTTTCAATTTATATATAAATGTTTAAAAACATTTAAAACATATGAAACTTGACAGAACAATAATTTATTCATTATACATGTTTTAGATTTATCAAACACATAAAAACAACATTTACAAAACTAAATTAAGTTTAATCACGATTTTACGTTGTATTTTAACAATCGACAGAATATTCCAATTATTTTATTTTTTATTTTCTTTTAATTATAAATTTGTATGTACTGTAATATAAACAGTATTACGTACTCGGCTACATTAAAATTTAATTTTCGCGAAACGATTACCAAATGCATAACAACCACTATATAAGAAATCACTATCCGAAAGCAAATCACAGCGACTGTACAGAAAATGAGTTAACTAGAAATAGACTCGAAAATCTGTCGACCATTTTTCAGGCACGCCTAATATTTTAACGACTTTTAAGTTAATATAGAAGACGAGCGAGAAATATGAACAGCAGTAAATGAATGAGACTCACGTTACACATTGGGCTCGAAATGCTCATCAGCGAGTATGTTTCCAAGTTCTCTTCGGAAGCCTCGTTGCATATTATACACACATCCTAAGAAAAGTGTGCGCGCTCGAGCGTAAAAAGAAGAGACAAAGAGAGTCTCGAAGCTCTCGGAGAAGCTGATGAGATTGTATTTTTTGAGTTTACTTTTCCGCGGGAAAATAATGAGATGAAAAACGGGAAAGACTATCGCGACGACCTTTGCACTTGGACACGACAGGAACGAAAACTCGTCGACGATGTCTCTTTTTTTTGCGGATGAGCCAATCAACGCACACTTGCGGATACACGTACACGCGCTCGACTAGATTACAAAAGATGGCGTCGTGACGTTAGTATCGGAAATTTTTGGTTGACGCCGACGCAGCCAATGCCGTGATGCGTCGCCAATGTGGCATTTTTGAGGTTAATATTGGGAAAAACCGTTACTTGTACATTTTTATCATTTTTATAACATATCAATGTACGAGATAATGTAATTGCAACAAAAGAGAATGATAAATTGCAATATATGTTAATTTGTCTGCTTTAACTTTCAGTATCTTACCTTCTGCAACAGGTTATAGACCGAGAATTGTAACGGCATTGATAATATTAAGAAATTAAATATTCAATATAGTACTCCCAGTATTTTTTCATGTATATCTTACAATAAGACGACGTAAAATTATCATGAAAATATGTTTATTATTATTATGCAAACATGATATGTATAGTTTAATCATTTATTTAACATTTTCATTTACAAAATAAGTAAACCCAAACGCGTAAGTAGACGAGCCTACGAAAATTAGTGATCTACTTTATCAACGGTAAATGGATAGATGACTCGGTTGGTAATAAAATTGAAGAAAATAAATTCTTTTCTCATCCGCGCACGTTCGCTCGTTTTTTCTTTCATTACCAGATACTATCAAGGTCCCGGTATTTCGTAAACCTCGAGTGTCCCATACAACCTTTAAAAAAAAATAAATAAAAAGTGACTGACGAATTGTACAATTAACAAAGACTGTGGAGTGTGTAAATGCCATAACCGTTCTAACAAAAACTCGTGGACAAACAGCTGCCGTTCGCATATTTCCAGCAGATCGGTAACCTCTATTTCTTGCTCCTCTCTCTCTTTTTCTCTCTCTCTCTTCCCCTCCCCCTTCCCCGATCCCTGTACCTTTTCCACTCTCTCACTCTATCTATCTATCTATCTTTCTCTCTCTTTCTCTCTTCATCTATTTCGCAATCATGTATAATATACCACTAATGTATATATTTTTTATTCTGCCTATCTTTGTTTAATATATTAATTTGTTGGCAATTTTACGTTTATTTTATTCGTCTTTTTTCTAGATCTTTGACAATTAATCTATTTTGGTACTCAGTGATTCCTAATTTTTAAAGATTAAAATTTTAAGTACTAGCGACAGCTAAGACATACTGGAAAATTTGGTGGATTAAGAGATTCAGACCAATAGGTAAGTTATTATTAAGACTATTTTGAAGTATTAACATATTATATTCATTTAATATTTAATTATGAATTCTAATTATAATCACAGTTTATTTTCATCTAATTATATAAGAATGTTGATATACCTTATAAAACCAAATTTTATACTTTTAGTTGTACAGTTATTTTAAAAGCACCTATTTACGTACTATAAAAAAAATCTTTATATTATCTGAAAAAATAATTGCAGAATGATTAATTTAAAAAAAAACATTAGTTAACCTTTACCTCTATTTTATCACAATTTATATTATACATTTTTACCACAAAGTTTTACTATTTTATTTACTTCTAATCTCTAGTAGAATTAGCTAGTACAGTAGTAAAATATTCAATTAAAATAAAACTTCCATATACTTTTATCTTTGAATCGATATATTAATATAAGTTTACGTTTGATTTCTGTTTTTAGATACTGCCAACTGTTCAATAATATCAGTAAATTAAAGTTGACAAATATGTCAGTATCCAATGATAATAGTAACAATTATAGCAATACTTGTGTTGTTTGTTACAAAAATGTTGAGTACTATAGTATTGGCATGTGCGAGCATCCTGTTTGCTTTGAGTGCAGTACTCGTATGAGAGTATTATGTCAACAAAATGAATGTCCCATATGTAGGCAGGACCTGCCAAAGGTAGTATTTACAAAAGAGATCAAAGCTTTCCGTTTTTTAAAGAAGGGAAATTTATTGGATATAAAGTACAATATATATTTTGATAATGCTGAAATTCAAAACAAATTTCTCATACTATTGGCACATACTTGTACTATTTGTGCCAATCAAGTCTTCGGTTCATTTACCAATCTTCAGGATCACATGAAAAGGAAGCACGACCTACATTATTGCCAACTCTGTGCTGATAATCTGAAAGTAATTATTCAACAATTATCTATCAATTATTTTTTAAATTCAAATATATTTGACTAAGTAATTAAAATAATACTCTATCTAATCATATATTTAAAGCTTTACGTTTAAAGTAAAAACTTTAAGAATTATTGTAGTTGCAATTAATTTAATGAATATTTTATTGCTTTAATCAATTTTTTATTACTCAGGAGACCAGAATTATCTAAATAAGAATGTATTCTTAAAAATTAATTTAAAAAAATTAATTTCTATTTGCTGATGATTCAAAATCAGCTACTGGATAGACAATTTGTTCTTGATATTTATTTTTATAGTCAATCTTTTTTTTTTGAATCTAATCTATAGAAATAAGCTATCCTGAATATTGACTATGAATTTTGTAAATTCCATCATAAAAAATTATCATAAAATAAATCGCAGTAGATTTGAATTAATCAATTAGAATTTAAAATATACAAATACAAATAACATAGATAATTTAGATAATTCTGAATTATTAAAATTATTAAAATCATGAAAAGTTTGTTCTTATAGAAAATAATTCTAATGTCAAAACAAGAATGTATCGATTGTCTTTTATAAAATGAATTTGTAAAAATCATAAATTTCGAAAATATTATTTAAAACCTTATATACACGAATGAACAGATTTATATTAACAATATTATTCGTATATGAAAGTTGGTAAAAGCTTTGAATAATGAATGGATGGAAAAATTCTGATCTTGTAGAATTAATGAGAAATGGCATGCCGTAACAAGTAGCTAATGATAAAAGATCCTTCTTAACAATTTTAATATGTATTCTTGTGTTTTTCATTTCTATTTATGTATTTTGATATATTTTACGAAGCCATATAGTAATCTAAATATTATAATTGTCAACTGATGAATTATGACAGCTTAACAAATAAATAAAAAATACTTAAAATAATTAATTCTATAGCTATAACCACCTTCATTCGGCAGTAAATTTTTACTTAAAATTATTTATCAATCTCGGTAATTCTTTAGTTGTATTGATATTACATTTAAAAACTATTTATTATTACAAACTAAATGAAAATAGGATATACAATAAAAAAAATATATATATATATTTATATAATATATATATAATATATATATAATAAAATATAATATCTAAGAACTAATTTTTAATATAATTTGAATATCATTATGAGTACAATTCAATTGAAAATCGCTCATTGAACTACTCTATGTATAAATTTGCATTATTTCACAAAATAAAAATGTTTTACAACTTATTTGTATATTTGCACTGTTCACTCAGTTTTTTTATATCTTTATTATATTTCGAAATGATATGGATAAGCCTTTTATTTTGTAACAAATAATATCATTAAATAAATATTTCTATAAAAATTATGATATTGAAAAAATGTTTGAATCGTATATCTAGAAAAACAGTTTAGTCAATTATATTTAGGAATGTTCTATTTATATTATTTACATTATAAATAGAAATAATTTGATTAAAATTATAATTATTTATAAATATATAAATACTATTTTTATAAAAAGTTTTAGTAATTGATTCTTTAATATTTATAATACTTAAAAATGAACATCTCTTTATGATTATTCATACTTACACTGAATTATATTTAAATTGTTTTCTAAAATAAAAACTAAACTTCTTTTTTAGAAATATTAATGACAATTATAAAAGAAATATATATATATGCATTTAAGTCAACTCGAATAAACGTACTATTTGATATAGTATTATATATATATATATATATATATATGCATATCAAGAATATCATTGAAAATTGTAAAATTCTATAAAATAATAATTGATTTTGTCGAAAGTATATTTGTCCGAGTTAATTGAAAGAGCTTCGTATTTTTTTTATTTAAGATATTTTCAAGTATTTTCAAATTAATCAGAGATTTCATTGAGAATGAAAATAAATAAATTTTTATAAAACGCGTTTGAAGTTTTTATCCAATGCCGAGTATATGTAATATTTAACTTTTTTGCTGCCAAACAATTCTAAGAATTTATATATATATATATATATATTTATTTAGCGTCAAAAGTTTGTATTTCTTGAAATTGATAATAATAGAGATTGCCTCGGTTATTTATATTCAACGTATGAGTATAAATTTAAATTTATAATATGTAATACTATTTGAATAATAAAAAATGAATTTCGACGCTTTTTTTTATTTTAACAATATAAATGAAAATTATTTATAGTTTTTTAAACATTTATTTTGGTGTTAATCAGAAACTTTTTTCTGTTCAATTTTTATTTTCCTTAAAAGATTATGTTTCATTCGTTAATTTTTTCCTGCTTTTTATGGATTCTTTATAACGTAATTTTATTATAAATAGAGTGCATAAACATTAGACACATTATATAATGAATTACTCTTCGTAGCTGAAATTTTATTTGAGATCCTCGAAAATTCATATCGGCAATATTTCTTTTTATATCTTGTTATGCCGCCTTTGTATACACTCTTGAATGCTAAATACCTAAGAAAACCGAATTACAGTGAGAACGAAGCGATGGTGGAAAATAACGGAAGTATGTTGTTTTCTTATATAGATCTTCTCGTACGAGCGCCGTTGCTACACGAGGGCAGAACTGTCGAAGCATCAAAGCAAAGGCGACCAGGATGACAAGAGCCACAAGGGCCATCCTCTATGCGAGTTTTGCGATCAACGTTACATGGACGTCGACGAGCTGTACAGACACCTCCGACGTGACCACCTCTTTTGCCACTTTTGCGACGCGGACGGCTTCCATCAGTACTACAACTCTTATGACTATTTGCGCAAGCACTTTCAGACGGAGCACCACCTTTGCGAGGAGGGCAGTTGCATTAGCGAGCCATTGACGAGCGTCTTCCGCACGGACATCGACCTTAGGGCCCACAAGGCTAAAAAACATGGGAAACAACTCGGCAAAGCCGCGGCCAAGCAGGCGCGTACCCTCGAACTCGAATTCACCCTCGCGCCCCGGGGCGATCTTAGGGGCAGGAGGGGACCGCCAGGTAGATAGCGTTTACTTGATCCTTGATAGCTGATGATATCGGACATTAGCCGTGGTCTTTACACTATCATGTATATGAAATTCATTAACTTTGTTTAAACGGACGACGTATTATAATATTGCATTATTTAACGGTTTAAGTAGCTTTCGTCATTCGAATCTTTGACCGCGTATAATGCTTTATTTTAATCAAAAAGTAAATTGTAGTTTTATTCGATGTGCTGGGGTTTCAATTCACTTTTACTTGTATGGATTGTATCAATATTAATAATGTATTAAGCCGAATGCAAAATATCTTTCAGTTGCTGTTTACCAAAAATTGTATAACTGTTTCGTTTCATTGAATGGGAGTGAGCGTAGAGTAGAACAAACGTGGGAGTTTAGACTAAGTCTCAAATAAATATATTGGTACTATAATGCCACATAACACTCAACCTACTATAAATTTGCTAAATACTAATGCAAATATGTTAATATCCGCCCTTATAAGTGCATAGTAAGTAAATCGAGCTAAGACCTCGGCATTATCATCAATTGCAATTTTTTTGCTCTAAAGTACGTAAATGCCGATTTGTCGTCAGGCGCAACGAGGGGCTCACGGGATCACGGGGGCTACCATCAGCCTCATCAGCAATTGGAGGTTGAGCCAGCGATAGAAAAGCCAGTATTTACCCGACAGCCCCTCGTAGATGTTCAGTCGACCCAGGAGTTCCCGCGATTGGGTAATGTCGAGTCCTCACCATGCCCGGCGCCGGGTCCCGGTCAATCCAAAACCCGAGGTAATCTTACCATATGCAGCACCTTGCGCAAGGGCAATTACGACGAGAACTTCCCGGCGTTGGGACCCGAGTCCGCAGCCGCACCCCCGAGCTTGCCCAAGTCTTTCAATGTGAGCGTATCGAGCACGAATAAGGCCGCGAGATCGACTTTCGCTAAGCCGGCCACCACCGCCGCACCCGATCTCTCCATCCATGTTAATCGCAGGTGAGTCAGAGAGCGACCGGTTTCCATTCCTCCGGAGCGTGTCAACTACGCTTTTTTGTTTTGCTGTTCGTGATAACGAAACAGAAAAGAACGATATTCGTTATCACGAACTACTACTAATGCCAACACGAGTACAGTTTGAAGAAGTTAATTTTATTATTTTTTATTATAATTGTTGTTGTTGTTGTTGTTTTATTTAATATTTTCACTCATTTGTGTTGAGATAAAGTAAATTGGCAAATATAATAAACCGGCGAATTTATATAATATAAAAGCACGCTCGTGTTCCGATCATGAAGTCATTATTGATGATATTTCAGTAAAGGATTTTTTAGAAAACGCGATACTCACGATTTCTTCAATTGCTAAAGATAGCTCGAATATTCATCTTAGTACCAGATCGTATTCGTAAGCATCAAGCGCTGCCTTCACTCATCCAGTATCCTGGAAAATCGATAAACTTTAAAATATAGAGGGAAAGCGATGATGGCAAAAATGTTTACAGGCCGAACGGTATGGTGATGACGCGCTTGAGCGGAAGCTCGAGCCTTCGCATAAAACCCGGGCCTTCCCGTGACTCGGACTTTCCGGCTTTGGGACAAGGTAGCACGGGATCAGCCGCGGATCCTTCTACGCGAACCTGGACGAAGATTACGTGTGTAAAGCCAACGACAACTCAAGTCAAGAAGGTCGCACCGGCCCCGCTCACTACCTCACCCCCTCCTCTACGTTCTGGCCAGGATTACCCGAGCTTGGCGAAGCCGACCAAGGGCCAAGGCAAGGGTAAGGAAACGACAGCTCCGAACGGCTCTCCCTCCCCTTGGCTTCAGGTAAGTGTATATATAATCAGTTGGTTGCTTAGTGGATCTTGAAATTTCTTTTATCGCCTAGTGTTCGCGCCTCTGTATTTCTTAATTCTGACAATTTTTAATAATTTAAAAGTATATTTAAAACAGTGAAAAATATTCTTAGGAAGTTTTAAAATAATATTAGCTTTTTTATCGCTTATTTTACTGAAGGTATTATTCTCAATAATTTTTCAATAATTTTAATTATGTAGTAAAAATGTTATAAAGATTATAACGGTTGTTGACTATTGTTTTATACTTACTGTCCATTAATTACGTATATCATAAATAACGTATACCACGCCTAGGTACAATAAACATTTATTTTTATGAATTTTTATGAAAAGCTGAAAAAAAGTTTTCCGCTAAAATGAGTATATTTTCATTTTATCTATTTAAAATCGTAAATTATATATCAAATGCATATATTTTTTTTCTTTCCAATTCAATAAAAGTTCGTCACTGACTTCAGTTCCATTTATTATATTAGAATAAAATTAATATTTGCGATAATTATGATTAAATCAATTTTATTTAAGCTATATATAGTCCTTTAATACCAACAATTTGCTCTCCAAACATAATTATATATTGACAAGTGAAATCTATTGATTCGAATCAAGTAGGGATCTCAATGTGATAATGAAATAGTTCTTTTAGCATTTAAAAGTCGTCATAATTATGTCAGTCAATTATTCTTGCGGTTGCAATGGAAGTATTCAGCTAGTGATTTGCCGCGTTTTCAATGGACAAAAGATTTCGGTTCACGTGTAAATAATCATCGGAAAACAGGTTCACACAACGGACTCGAGCGACAAATTCGCAACGATAACGGCGGACGCGACAAAAGGCAAAGCTAAGAAGAAAAAAATGAAGCAACAGCAGCAACAGCAGCAGCAGCAGCAACATAACAGTCTTACGAACAACGAATCGACTAGCCACGTCCACGACGTAAACCGAAAAGCCGAGCAGAGAAGTCCATCTAAGGATACGGAACAAGAATCGAGTACGGTTGCACCTGTGACAATACCACGCAAGCGCTCGGAATTAAAGATCGAGAATCTCAATACGAAGAACAACAACTTAAGGTGATGAAACAACATCCTTCATTTACGAGTTTCGTTACGAGTTTCGTTGTTTTCTTACGTTTGAGGAACACATGAAATGAAAAATATTAATTTTACGGTTTAACTACTGACTTGATGATACATTTTGATATATAGATGAGTATCGATTTTAAAGCTAATAAAGATTCATAGGAGCTGGAAGGAGATAGCTAATGGCCGATACTCTCATTTTAGCACTAAAGTAAAAACCAGTGACAGTACTCGGGCCAATAACTTTCCGGTATTAAGTCGAAGTGGTAATCGACCCCCGGGTCTCGGGAGTCCGCCTCCGGGTTTCGGCGGCTCGACGACTGCAACTACACCGGCAACGCCGCCTCCGGGTTTTCTCAGCCGTCTCAATGGCCTCACCTTCACCAACAGTTCCGGCGAGAACTACACCATTGTACCTGATGAAACGGACCAACCGCATCGCTGCTACACTTATCAGCAGCCCGATAACTTTCAGCGACGTAATCAGAGCCTCATGGCCAAGTTCAATGACTGCCTTGGTCCCGATGACGGCGAAGACTTTAAAGCTTTTCGCTATCTTAGTCGACTATATCGCTCCGGCATTTACAATGCTGCCACGTATTACAAGTGAGTATTTTAAGAATATTCTGAAGACGATGCGGTCCACGACAACAATATCTTATTAATACTCTCAGTATTAATCCTTAACGTTTTGTGCTTTAACACTGTATATGATATGTATATATATATATATATATATATATATATATATATATCGAATTCAGACATTCATTGGAATTTAAATATAATTGCATGAATGATAAGCGTTTGGTGTGCTCAGTAGATAAATCAGACAGATCACAATATCAACGGTTCTTTAGGTTTCGACTCAATTAAACTTCTGTCTGCTGGTGAAAAGCTTTAATAAGACTTTTACAATGTACATGATTTATTTAGATATAAATTTAAATTTGTACAGATTTGTGTAGATAGTAAGCATATCACGATTAAAAGATAAGATTATTATTATGTACAAAATGGTTAAGTTAAAAAAAAATCACAAGTAACATTTTTTAAGATAAGATAAAATTCTGAATTATTATAAAAATTATAAATTTTTGTTATTGTCTTTATTGTAATTGACAATAATTACACTTAATAATGTATTTAACATTTTATCTTTTAAAATATTAATTTCACTACATCCTTTTGTTTATAAACGTTCAAGATGTTTGATCTCCAATTTGTGAGAATTGAAGGAGCATTACATTTGGATGGATTCTGACTATATAAAAGTAAAATTTTAGCAAAATAATATTATATTTGTGATATTGTTTATTTGTAATCTGCTTATTTGAATATCTTGGCAATTTATTTTTATGATTTTTCAGCAATTAAATATATTATTTTCACTAACACATATGCGTGCAATGTCTTTAAACGCATTTTCTCGATAAATAGTTTTATGTTACACAAGCACAATGCATCATTAACATCATTTGATATACAGTATTTTAACGTTTAGTTAATGTATTTTAAAATCATCTATTTAAATATACTTGAATTTACATATATTTAGTAAATTTTAAATGGACATAGGAATTTTATTCGCGAAATTCTTACAGCTTTGAAAGAAATTAAAATTCTGCAGTTTTTTATTTGATAATTAAAATAATCTCGTATTATCAATTGTTATATATACATATATTATATCAATATTATCTATACAATATGTATAATATAACATTATGTCCGTAATGCAGTACAGTAAAATTAATAATTTTATTATCTTGATAAGAAATAGTATTAGTTGTGCGTACCCTATATAAGTAATAATTAAATACTAAGATAAAAGGGGAGAACGTTGAATGCTTATTGTGAGCTTGTGTGTCTATCATCAACGTATAAAACAAAATAATTATGTTATGCATCAGGCAATGCCGTACGGTGATGGGCGTAGGATCGTTCAAGCGGCTATTCCCGGAACTCCTGGCATTGCTCCCGGACATTGATAAGCAACGCGAGCTCTTCGAAGTCCACAAAAACGAGGCGTCTGCGGACGACGTGTTCATGGCCGACCTCATCGAGTGCCCTAAGTGTGGCCAAATTCTCCACAAAGTCGATCTCCATTCCCATGCCACTAGTCACAGTATCGAGAACCATTTTCCGGTGCTTGGCAAGAATAGCCCTGCGAGTAACCACGTCTTGCCCAAGAATTAATCCTTTCACTCCAACGCAGCTATCTCCCATTCAAGATATCAGAGAGCACTGCGGAGGTATGTTGTTAAAGGGCATGCGCGATTTAAGATTGAGAATCAACGGTGGCTTCTCTTCTTTCTTTATCATTCGATAGGAAGTTTAAAGTCACGTCCATTGCGTGTCAAGCTAAAGAGGGGCAACCCGAATGTATATAACAGCAACACTAGCAACCACAACAAGAGCAGCAGCAGCAGCAGCAGCAGCAGCAACAAAAACAAACAACGAATAGCAACAGCAGTACCAAGATAACATTAACAACAACAGAAACAACAACAACTATAGTAATAAACAAGTGTGCTAAGACGGCGTTACCAAACCTTATAAGCTTTGCCAATTTTAGTTCTGAGTGGTCGATAAGCAATCACTTGTGAATTTAATTTTCACGAATTCTTTTTTTACCAATAAATATTAAGAGAAATAATGTGGCAATATTTCATAGTGTTTATGGAATAATACGAAGAAACTTTGGAGCGCTTTATTTTGGAGGCAAAATTGATCGAAAAAATATAAATTATTCGTATGCGTGTCTGTTGCGTTTAAGCATCGCACATGTTTCTTGTATGAACAATGAGCTGTAAAACAATTGCGTACACGAGTACGCTAGATATATACGTATGCACCTGATATAAAATCAAGATTGAAATTTACTAGATATAAGGTTTTCTTTTAATTTCCAATGTAAATTTCTTTTCTATTTCATAGTGTAAATATGGATTAAAATGTTCATTTTATCTTTCTCAACGAATTTAAAACTTTAAACTACATGAAAGTATATTTTTTAAACAAAGCATTATGAGCAATTACAGAAAATTAATTTTTCCATTCGAAGAAAAAAATAATTTTTAATTATTGCTCATTATATTATTTATCGCTTATGAAGTTAATAAAAACATGAAAAAAGTTCCAAAGTTATTAAAAATTATGTTTGTTAAAGAGTAAGCGTATTTATAGGTAAATTAATATAGTTTAATAATTTTTTAATTTTTTGTTTTTTTTTTTTTTTTAATTTGAAATAACTTCACATATAATGGAACGCGCGCGAGTACACACACACATACACACGCACATATATATACATATATATATACAGAGAGGGAGAGAGAGGGAGAGAGAGAGAGAGAGAGAGAGAAAGGCGAGATTCCAATAGGAAAAGATCTGTTTTATGTAGAATGGATTCAAAGTTTATTTAGATTATTTATGTTATTTTATAATTATGATAAAATACATTACAGTAAATAAAAATAAACGCTTCCTCAAAATATTTATATATTTTAATATAAAAAATTTAAATTAAGGATAGTTGAGATGAAATGGAAATAATTTTTTTTATTCATAATATTTTTTTATCAGTTAGGCAAAGTTTTTCTAGGTTTGGTATATTTTTGTATGTTATATATAATAGCAATGATTTTCTATCATTAAATGGATACTATACACTTTTATTAAATGACACCGTTTTTCAGAAAATTTGTATCAGAGTTATGGCTAAAATTAAATTTAATTACGTATAATGTATAGGTGCCATTAATTTTAATCCAGTTAAATATTTTCTTTCGTCTTGTAATTTTCGAATCGAATTCAATTTATTTTATAAATAATTCGATTTACTATTGAAAATCGTAAAAGCAAAATTACATAATTGCTCGTTCTTATGTACTTGTTGTTTTACGATACAGTGATATAGTATTAGAAGTTCATTTAATATCCAATTAAACTATTGCTTTGTTTTTAAGGCTTTTTATAGCCTTTCTCAAAGATTTCATCAAACGTTTATCAATAAATTATTTTATCAGTAATTTCTTTCTATTGATTTGAATTAAAAACCAATATCTATGTATATTCCTTTTATACCTTTTTGCTTATGAGCAGACTAAGTAACGTTGAATTTTTTATATTATACTTACATAATAATTCAAATAAATAAGATAAATATTTTATGTATTCCTAAATTAAGATTTCATATATATAGATGTAAATAAAATGGAAATGTTTTTAATTAACAATATTTTTTATTCACATTAAAGAGGAAAGATTCAAACAATTTATGTTATTAACATTAAATTAAAAAAAAAAATGTAATTTCAAATTTATATACTTTAATAACATCTTTTATAATAACAAATTAAAATCTTTTTCAAGATAAATGTGTTTTATAACAGAAAAAATAGAAAATTTACTTTCGTTCTAATTTTATAATGCTCACTGATGATCAAATTTTATATTCCAAATCTATAGAATTAATCATAAAAATGAATCATAAAATAATAAAACAAGTAAAAGGGGTCCCTAACACGAAGATTATAAAGACGTTTTATAAACTTAAATTCTTTTAGAACCTATAACTTAGGCGAATATTTAGAACAGTGAAGTTTTAAGAATAAAAAATTTAATTAAAAAGAATAAAATACTAATCAACGCTCTCTCTATAATAGTTGAATTAGACCAATAATGTGAATAAAAAGAGTTCTGTCTTTCAAAGATGTAAACTAGTCGGATTTCAACTATAAACGTGACTCACTTGAAGTGTCTATGTTAGTAATAAAAAGTTGTTAATAGTATCGCAGTATCGTTACCATTAAATTATTTGTAAGTATAAAGAATTATTTCTGATAAAGTTGTTCTTTTATTTTTAGTCTTTATATTTATGAAGATGAATAATTATAATATTCTATAATTGAGAATACATCTTATGATTATCTTATGACATGTTATATCTTCAAATGATTTATTATCATACATTACTTTTATTTTACACCTTAATTTTGTAATTTTATTTTATATATTCTTTGTGTAAAAAATAGTATTAAGTGTTGCAATTGAATAGATATATTAAAATTGTAATGGTATTTTTATTTTTTAACGCTTTAAAGAAATATTTTAATATTATACTTACTTATAGAATAATAGAATCTTAAATATGAATCGTAAAATATCAAAATATTAATTATTAATGAAATAATAAAAATAAATTCGTATTATGATTGTGTAAATGTGTATATACTTTATTGCAATTTTATAGTAATTTTAAACACAAAATAATATAATATAAAATAATAATTTAATAATTTATTTTATTATTATTAAGGGACTATCTTATACAAAATTACCATAAGAAGCTGATAATATAAACTGGCTAAATAATTGCTAATTTAACTATGTTCACAGATTCTTTTATTAAAAACATACATTATTTTATTTTAAACATACAATTTTAAAATGTAAATTATATTGAAAGCTTAATACTAAATGGAGTGTAAATGTAATAATACAAATAATATAAATGGTTTAAATAAAAATTTGAAAATCGTTATTAAAAAGCCGAAGTAAAAATTAATAGTTATTTCGTTTTTTAATAATAGAAGTAAATGATTTGAATATTTCCTGAATATCTATTTTATCAGATAATAATTATTAATATTAATATTTTATGCCATAATAAATTATTAATGTTTTTTTTATTGGCTTATGAACTTTCGATAATTTTTCTCGATACATTTTCAATGGAATTTGAATAGTTACATGGATTAGACAATTTTTTCTAATATTAGCATAAAAATAATTATAGAAAAAATGGTTGAATTCCATAGTTGACTATCAATAATTTTAATATTCTGTTTATATTAATAAACCTTTGCATTCTCTTTATATGTATATTCAATTAAATTACATAATCAAAAAGAAACGTTCGAGTGCTGCAGCAATCGTTACTTTTATCAGTTGATTTCAGTTAATTTCAGTTATTAACAATTCAGCGACGAAACGTCGTAATGAAATCAATATTTTTCTGAACTTTCTGGAAATATTAATGTAGCAATTATTGCGGATTTTTCATTAGATGTCAATCGATACAAATTTAAAGTACAAACACATCGAATGTGAACATTATTCCAAATAGTAATCATTTAAAAAATGTCACATCATAATACAAATATTTCATTATTAATATTATTATAAAACATTTTATTTAGCCTAGCTGACAGATCGTATCAATCGATGCCTTTTCATAAGAGGTTGTATTATAAAACCTTTACATTACATTCAACTTTACATGCAGTTTTACTTGATTTCATTTTTTATTTCCATCAGATATTTCACAATTCATTTTTAGTTAACTTTTAAACTTACCTCTGATCGGTGAAAGCATTAAAGTTGATAAAGTATATAAGCAACCTAATTGTTTGGCAATTACAATGGGCGGAAACTTTACCAAAATACAAGATGTCTACGAAGATTGATGGCGATCATATTTTCAATCTACGTTTTCTGTTAAATTGTACTTTTCTGTGCTATGATATTTATTCTTGAAATAAAATTCAACGCGTGCTCTATCTTTTTCTATTATGCATTTGTCCTTCGTAGCTTGGTAAATATATTGAATCTTAACGTCCAACTAAATTAAGTACCAATGATCGCGTTTCTATAGCATAGTGGATAATTAACATAATTAGTCTTGACAGAAAACCTATGGAAAAGGCATCTAATTTATTATACACTCAATCTACACTTAAATCTATTAAAATAAATTCAAACATATGTTTTATTATAAATCGCATAATATTGAATTGAATATGAAATATTATGAAGTAAATATTTCCTCATTTTTCAATTTTATATAAATTAGAAAAAATTAAAACTGATAAAATTATGCAGAAGCTAATAAATACATAATACAAAAATTTGATACCAAATAATTAAGCAACTGCGTAGACTTCAACTGTTTTATGAGTTTCCCATGTTAATAATTCTTTAATTGAGGCCATAAATAATTATATCAAATTAAATTTTTTTTTCTTCTACAGGGAATCAATACAGCTTTAGGTATTTCATTTCATTTCATTGAAAAAGTTTTATCCATAGTTCTGTTTCTGTGGGTTCGTAAAACGATCACATAAGTGTATCATTTTAAGTACGAGTTCTTCAAAGAAAATTTAATATTATTTTATAATAAAGTACGTATGATAAAATTAATTTGAACTATTACTGTTAATATAAGACTTTATATATACCATGGCACAGAAAACATATTTCTGTTTTAAGTTTAACTGTTGTAAAATAGCATTTACATGTAATACAATTATTTACTTTATAATGATGATTATAATTATTTATTACTTTTTATTATATATCAAAATACTTTAAATTTGATATAAAATAATTACATTATTTATTTATATAAAACATTTTTAA